TTATTATTATTATTATTATTATTATTATTATTATCATCATCATTATTACTATTGTTATTATTATTAATTATTATTATTTATTGGAATAATACAAACTTCATGGGCGAAAGCTTACTACTTAATGACGCGATAGATTTAAATTCCTGTAATGTCAGCAGTGACAAAAACGGAAGTCAGCTGGTAGCGACTAATGCCTCAAACATTTGGCCGGTATCATTCTAATGTTTGTTTAGGAGATTTAATCGTTCTCTAATTCACTTCCTTTCCTTTCAGATTGTTTTCCGAATAACTTCATTTTCCTTTTTTTTACATATATTTTTTCAAGTTGTATCATTCAAATATTGATAGTACTGTAGCAGAGCCGATAAGACTGCAAGCGAAGTCTAATGCTCAGCAAGTCTATTTTCACACAACTGGATATGAAACCGGTCGCTATGCAAATAACATGCGATGTAGTTGGATCCTGATGGGTAGCAGTATAAGGAAAAGAATAATGCTAACTGTCCATGATTCCGACATTGACGATGCCCTGTTCTCGAAATGTGACGACTACTGCTCCATTCATGATGGCAAGTTCTTTCTAAGCAAAATCATAATGTTTCAAAGACAAAAGAACAACAAATAAGGAAAATGCCCATTGCAGGTGGTACATCCAAATCACCAGAAATAGTGCGTTGGTGCGGTGTTAAGCATCCGGATGTGATCATCAGTACTACCGATTCACTTTATGTGTACTTTCATAGCGACGAAGCATTTCAAAGGAAAGGCATCAATATGTCCTTCATCGAATTTGGTATTTTCCTTTTTTAACGTGACCAGTTCTGTTTCTCAGAGATTGAACTACGGCATCTTTGTGAGGCATTTCTTGCGTAAGGTTACATTTTTGTTTATAACTTTAAGCGACTAACGCTATAATTGTACCAGAAAAATTATCTAAGCTTTAGCAAAGATTGAGAAGCGTTGTGTGAGAATTGCAAACTGCTTACTATCGATAGGGTTTTCAGTGAATGTCCATTTCTGTCCTCCATACGAATAACTTTCCTGCAGATGTTCAAATTCCTTTGAGAATAGTCACGATGCTATAACTTTTATCTAAATTTGTGAACTTATAAAAGTAAAAGCAGATTATCAAGAATAGCCGTATACAGTTCGAACATTTATCACTATGTATAAACATGCAGTTGGTAAGACTAGTTCTTTCGGTATCATTCATGTAACTTGTTTCCAGATATGCCAGGATGTCCACCGAACTGGATTTCCAGTTCGATAGGTTACTGTTATATATTAACGGAAGCAACTCATGGTTTAACATGGCTAGAAGCGCAGGAAGAATGTAGTCTGGTACGTAGTAACCTGCTCACATTGACCTCTGCCATCGAATATTCTTCTGTTGCAGGTAACTTTAGATCGAATGCTTAGTTCCATTTTTTTTTTTTTTTTTCTTGAGGAAAATTTTGCTTACGTTTGTGAACTTCAATGGTTGAATTAACATATTTCAGCAATTTATACAAAAAGCAAAACAACCCCATGGATTGGTTATATGGACTATAGTGGTGAAGGCAGATTTACGCCTGTCGATCCAAACTCCCAACCTTGGCCAGAAGAGTTCGTAGATGGTCATTTATCCAACACTGAAAACAAAAAATTTTTAAGTGGTACACCCAGTGCTGTTCTGATATCAGCAGTTGTAAGGATCATCCTGTCATTCATATAGATGTTTAGATGTTTAGTGCCACATCATCAAGGGGTACAGCCAAAACAGATTTAATTGGAACAACCGTACAAATTACAACCAGCAGTAAATTACTGCACAGTCAAGCAAATAAACTTAGGCAAAGTATTCAGTACTAATCTATCATGCAGTACTAAACAGAAATTAATTTATCGAAGCTACTATGATAAGCCTTTGCTTTTATGTCACAAAATAGAAATATACAGAAAGTCAGTAATAAATATTATCCAATTTATCTAATAGTTTCAGTTTACCGAAACTCATCGGGAGTCGTTCGGGACAAGAGTGCGCTTATATAGACTGGCGCAACAGGAAGGGAGAAATCTTAGCTGTGGATGACTGCAGAAATCGCCATGAATATATATGCAAGCGTCGCCAAGGTAACGTTTGACGCTTAGCAATGTTCAACAGTCACCGATACAACAAGGAACTGATCCAAAGGAAATACTTTCAGATGGCACCACGATACCGTACCTTCCACAAAAAGAAATGATGCGTAATGGTCTTGCGAAGTCTCCCATCAGTTTCAATATCTGGTTGTTTATAATCCTACTCGTTCTGCTCACGCTTATCCTACTTTTCGTATGTTACCGGAAATGCAAAAAGCAACGCGCGTTATCGCGCATTGGCAGTTCCGATGCAAACCAGCGTCTGGTTACGGGAATCGATGTGCAGCGGGCTGCAACATCCGCTACAGTACTACATATCGGAAGCTCCGAAATCCAGAAAACTAATAGTGTTGCTATAAACAATAATGGCGCTAGGAACGATGCAAGAGTGCCTACAGTGACTGAAAATGCTTCCAGTGTAGTACAATATAGAGATTCATCGAGGTTAGCTGTCAGAAAATGAAAGAATATTTCCTTTTCCGCTGTGAACAATTAGATCATGTTTTCATGTTACCAAATTCAAAATGAATAATTCATATCGAAAATAAGCATATAGCAGGACAAGAATGGAAATAAGCAAAACCGAGAACAGGCTATTTGGTAGCAACTTGCATGAATAAAAGCCAAATCTAATTTAAAAAAAAAAAAGAAACCAAATCAGAGGTCATAACCGTAAAATAATTACAGACAAGCAAAAGAACAAAATACTCCGAGTCAAAACTCGCACTCGATACGGCAGCTGAACCTGGAACGAATTGAACCAACAGTTCTGACAATCGAACCACGTTTTAATGCACGTCAAGCAAGCGAGGAGCGCCTCTCGGTGCCTAGTCGAAGCAAACAAAACCTACCATTCGGCATACGGGAAAGTACAATGAGCAGCACAACGAGAGAGGAAACACTACTCAAAATACGACGTGGTGAACTGTTTGAACGTCCACGCGTATCTGTTCTGGATCATACATCTGCCATTAGCCTTGACGAATTCTGGAACAAAAATGAAATGTCAACGATTAACAGGAATTAGCTGTGAATCATCCACTTAGTGCCTCTTTCGTACATTTGTCAATTCTCTTGTTCCTTATTTAAAGCAGCCATTATTATCTCCTAGGTGCACAGTCACCAAAACGGGCAAACTATACTATCTTACCAATATCATTCCCTTCTTGAGCCTTCCATCATTCTTCAGTGCTTGTCTTGTAGTCTCAGAAATAACCTGTCATGGTTAGATTAAACCGTTTACAGCAATCAAGCAGAGAGAATTACGTGGTGTAAAACTACGAACTAGACAGAGTCAAAACTTGTTCCGATACAACACGAACTCAACAGTCATTACAGAAAAAAAAAAATTCTACACTCGTAACGTAACTAAGGGAACCAACAGTGGAATGAACAGTAACCAGTGGACAGTGTTATAGCGAAGGAAATTTTTCAAGCAACTGGATAAGGAATATCCACTTGAAAGGCGTAAAATGTGTTCATAAAATAGCGAATGAAATGAGAAACTAACGATTCAATCATACAACGAAAGGGAGAACATCACTTTTACATATGAGACGCCTATCAATGGGATAATGAGAGGAGGGCAACAGAATGTGCCGTATGAAACTGCGATCTTGTTTCAGTCCCAAGAAACAACGCCAGTTCTCCACGAATCCGAGATCGTTTGGTGAACGCCATCTCTGCTGTCTCCGTCGGTAATCACGATGTTGCTAAACAGTTAGGACTTCAAGACGAAAAAAAGGATTGTGGGTTTTAAAAGATTGCAATGCATGCTAAGTTTTTTTTTTTTTTAAGGTTTCACATAGAAATAAAGCAAACCGACCCTCTAAAAAGAAACTTTAATCGTTCTTAACAAATGGAGTGGGACGCAATGGCTGATAACTCTTTCTTATTTTGAAAAGTCCACCCGCGTTTGGTGTTCAACTCGTATGAGAAAAAGTATATTTCATACTTGAAAAGTACATAGAAACATACCCAATGTGATCTTCTGAGTTACAGGTTTTCAGTCTTTTCATCTCTTGCACCCATCACGTCCCACAATCTCCATAGTTTTTTCAGGTATGGATGAATTAAAATGAGTTTAGGTAACCCAATCTGAGTTAAATAACCATGTTGCCAGAATAACTGATAGTAGTAAGCGGATCTAACTCTAAGCGGTCTAAGTTACGGGAGTGCATAGAAAAATTTCTTATTTCTTATGCAAATTTCTTATTTCTTACGTCATGTAAGTTCTATGTAAACCGAGGTGATACTGTTAAAATTAGATTTCCTTTAAATAATCTTAGCGACTACAAACAGCTTCAAGACGACTTATGGTATATAAAGCGATATATATAGATTATATGAAAAAATCTAACTAATCATACAACGCTGCATAACTGACTGAAGTTGGGGAAAGTTTTTTAAAGACAAAAGTCTCAGAACGAAATTCCCATATCGGCAAGGATATTTTATGTTCAAATATTCTTCTGAAACTTTCACTGAAGTTGTCAATAATCCTATATACTGATTAAGTCAGAAATGGAATTTATTTTATGAAAAATAGCATTGAAGGTGTGAAAACCAGCCAAGTAGTCGACGAATGTTTCGCCAATTGAGATTAAATACATGTTCCATGCTGCGAACATTCCAAGAATGATGAATAAAAGCGCTGCGAGTCCATAAACGAAACAAATATAACTGGTTAGGAGATTTGGTACCAGTGAACAAAGCCACCCACGCCACGGTGCCAATGATAAATGCTGAGCACAATATGGTACCACTGACATGCGCTGCAAAGTCCAATATTTGCTTAAAACAGTTTCCAAGTCCAAGCAGTAAGTTTACTTCTTCCCGAAACGTCTCAACGTTAAATTCCATTGCTGTTCAAGATGCTGACAAAGGTGCGGCATGTTAATGAGGATGACATTTAATGACGTCGAAATTTTCTGGAATAAAGAAAAGAAAACTTGTTCGGCATAAACTGTACTTCAACATTAACATTATACATATGTGTGTCTTCTTAAGAAAACATACTAATCTCAGCACGAACCCATAATTTATATAAAAATGGCGTGCCATTGCGGCTGAACGTACGTAAATAGTGGACTTTTTTAGACATGGGAAAAAAGTTAGCAATAAAAAAGAATTGGCAAGTATGTGTGCAGCAATCATCAAAAACATGAGGCTACATCTTCACTTTACTATGTTCTATTTCTAATATTTTGAAATACTCCTCGATTAAGTAGAGGAAGAACATATAAATACGAAGAATAAATAGAAACAAACATTAACGGAATAGAAGTGTTCCCAAAATGCAGCATAGTTGGCAGTGAGTATGAAGCACTGGGAAAACCATACATAGATAACGAATTGTAAGAAATAGCGATGATTATTGAGGCCTACACACTGATTGATCCATACACAATGATGGTCCATATATAACACACAACGACCACAAAGCGAACAATGATGTGTCCCTTCCGGTTTGTGGTATCCACAAGAGATGCACAGTGGTTCCGCATCAGACTGTAAATGTTTTAAATGCTAATAAAAAGAAAAAGGGTAAAAAAAAAAACATATCTCGGTATGAGAAACAACAAAGAATATTTGAAAAGTTTGTTTTGGAAACGACTTACAAATTCTGGTCGTCCAGGATCCACTGAGCACGCTTTCTGATAATGAAAGAGGATGCAAACAATTAGATATGCTCCGAAAGCATAGTATAGAGGAATGCGAAATGATGGCCGTACTTGTTGCTCATATGGGAATAGGATCAGATATTCGCATCCAACAATTACTATCAATAAGAAATGAACAAGACAGTATAAACCCTTAAATATATTTTCAATCCTACTTGTGATGACTAAACATCAAACGGAAAAGTGAGTCTAAAAACTGATCTCGACCACCCACAAATATCAGTGCTAATTTCTACACTTTTCACTAGCTTCACTTTTATTTCTTTTTTGGTCTATGGACTACTTATGAGGATCTAAAAGCATGGACAAAGACAGGAAAACAAATTCAACAAATTTGCTTACTGTTCCTAAACCTGTCCGAATAAAAGCATTTAGAAATCGGATATAATGTAAACTGATTAAGGAAGGTAACGCCGATATCCCCGCAACAATGCGGCGTGACCACAAATTAAATTTCAACATATACCAATCTGTGAAATTACTTCTTTGCAAATATCTATCTCGAACCGTCCCAATCGATGATATCTGAATACGGAATAAACACGTATAGCATATACTTTTCAAATCACATTCTCAAAAGTATGATGGGACAAACTGTTCAAATGCAAATATAAATTTGCAAGAGATGGATGAAATCCCAAGTGTCGGTCCTTTTGAATTCTTGACTGAATCTTACGACTAATCTTACGACTTTTTGGTCATTCCTACATGCTCCCAGAACAATTACCAAAGTCGAACATCTTCGACATTAAAATATGCTGACATACCTTCGAAATTGAGAGGCTATGTTTAACGTTTGTCCTTCAAATCTTCCAAAGGTATATTCACAACGGTGTATTCACAAAGGAGTATTCACAAAAGTGTATTTCCAAAGATGTATTCACAATTTTCAACATGTATTGACAACGCGGTCCTTTCTACTTCATAAGCAACCATTCAGAAAGCTTCTCCTCCTGAAACACAGCCAAACCAAAGAACAATCCACCCGACAAATCCGACGCTCTCCTACCGTCCACCACCTCAAACTCCTTGCTCGTATCAGCGGCCCTGTAACAGGCCGTTTTCACGACACAGACGTAATGCAAATTGTCAGCTCATGGGGTTACCGATTTGGCGTAGGATATTCACCGATGAGGTTTTCTATCTGAGATTGAATCTGTCAGGCGAAGCTGTTGCAATCCAAAGAGTTTAATTGTCCAGTGAAGTAAATACAATGACTACCAACAATCTAATAATGAATAACAATTCGATGAAATGAATAACACGATATGGAGTACGGAGTGTGGGACGCGAAATGCGGAATGTAGATGCTGATCAGTGTAATATGAAAGCTTTCAGCAACATCATCGGCGAACTGACCGAAAGGATTATGGACCATAATGTGTGTTCAGTTTTTTT